CGTCGATATTTAACAGTCTCTATATTATTCCACGAATCGGCAGGAAAAAAATGGTAAACAGGAACCTCTTGACGTCTTGTGATTTTTATAGCAGTTTATTCGACTTGTGCTATTAATGTCGCATCCGTCGCGGTAAATGAAGTTTCAGGTTCTTGATTATTCCGAATGCGAGACGCAGTGGAATGTTTGATTGGAAAATATAATGGCAGTGAAGACGGTGAAAGGATTTTATACCGGTGTCACATTAGGGAACATGAGAGGTGAGCTGAGTGTGTCACTATGTGTCCGTCGTGACTAATGAAGCATCTGCTCCCGTTGCGCTGATTTATTCACCAGATTAAGAATAGTAGAACGATATAATCCACGGATCCGTAACGCCTTTAATTCTCATATCAAACACGTGTAGTGAATTGTAGAGGAAAATGTACCCTTTGCAGTAACTATGAAATATAGCTGTTATTAGATATAGACTTAAATTATAATAGATTATAATAAATTAAGAGACAAAGCTATTTTTTTCATTATTTCACATATTAGTGTATTATACAAAAATTAATATTAAACTTAATAATTTTACTGTATCAAATCAAATAGCAACTGGGAATCAGCCTTCAATGGGTTCACTAAATTATATTATAAAAAGGAAATAAACAATAAAACTATAGAATAGTGATTACGTGTGCGCACAGAGATCGTCTCTATCCACCGCGATAGTGAATTAAAAACAATAATTGATCAGTCCTTGAATACGTAACGAGAGCTTAATTATCTCGAAAAAGGAGCAAAGTGTTCGACATCAATCAACATACGACTTACACGTTAATTATCCGTTTCACAGTAAATCAATAAATCCTGCGAAACTGTTCTCAAATTCGACATCGGTGATCCAAACATTTTAGACATCCCGTGCAGAAGGTTCGCTCCCGTTCAAACCTTCTTATGCGATTAACCGGCACGAATTATATTAAATCTAATTATACGCCCCGGCTCATGACACTTGACAACACGAGTGGCCTGTTAAGGACCGCGATACATTTAAAAAGGAGAAGAAAAAAGAAAGAAGGAACGAGACCGAAACTTACGTCATTTGATCAGCGAATTCAGCGTGTCGGTCCAACTTGCCCACGCCACGGTGAGAAACGGGCCGAAGGCGTTCGGTGATCCTCGTGTCGCTTCGGAAACGCTCGGCCCCATCCGTGTCGTAGTTGTATCGCGGCGTCTTATTCAGTACGGTAGTGTCTTCCGTCGCTGTCATTTAATCGCGATTCGCCAGTGATTAGCGGATGGTTTTTATTGCAACGATCCCCGAACAACAGGATGTTCGGTTGAACACGAGTTTCCGATCGTCTCCGGCAAGTGTTAACCTCGTTGGTTCACAGTATCCTCATTTCCGTTGAAGTGCCTGCAAAAAGGGGAGCAGCGTTGATCTCTGCCATGAATTCGCGCGTTCGTCTGCTTGTACCCCTCAGCGCCTTCAAAATGGTAAATATAATTTCGAACTTAACAGTCGCACGCCGCCGACACCTCTTATTTACATAATGCATTTCTATATATTTCCATGCATGCGATGATCAAGTCTCGGAAAATCGTCTCGAGAAAAACAGTAATTGTTCAGTGTTTGCGATTTGAATTTTAACCTAGTGACGACCGTCGTCCTACTCTTATTTTAACTTCGTTCCTACTATTATTGTTTTCAATTGTTATTATTATCGTGTAGTATTATTATTATTTATTATTACTATTATTATTACTACTACTACT